GGCAGTGGAACAACTACTGTCACACTGTCCTTCCAGGAAAAGGCTACTCCTGTGCACAAGCCGTGGTTATGTCAAAGGGGAAGAGTAAACCTCAGCAGGAAAGAGCTGAAACTGCGAGATGAATCTGCTCTCCACAGCTAAAGGTCTAAGAATAGCAGGGGCACTCATTAGCCATAAAAACCTGAGTGTAAGTGCACGTACAACAGCACGAGGAACGCTGACAATGGAGCGCCTGACGGCTCCCAGCCTCAGGGAAGCTCCCTTCACTCTTCAATAGCTCAGGCTGCTCAGTTCCACAGAGCAGAGCTGGATTCCTGTGTCACAAGTCTCCCAGTCAGGAACCAGACTGGTTAAAGCAGCATGAGCTGCACCAAAGCCCCCACTGGAAAAAGCTCTTCAGTCAGTTGTCATGAGCCCAATCTCTAGACAACACAGCAGAGACAGCAAAGAATCTTTGGCAAGGACAAGCACACCTGGAATACCTACACAACTAAGCTGAAGCATTGCAGGAAACCCTCGGGGAAGCAGCCGCACTGCAGATCAGGAATGAGAGCTCAAAAGCCAAGTCCTGCTCTTTGTGACTGGGGGTGCTCTCCTCACGAGGCGCAGCACAGACAGGACACAGGTGACTGACCAACAAGCCAGGCAATGACCTGAGGCCGCTGTGCTGGGCCAAGGCCATGAGCCGCAGCGGGGACAACACCAAAGCCGCGGTGGAGGCTCAGCAGAGAACAACAGCTATGGCTTCAGCAAAGCAGCAGAGGCAGATCTGAAGGGAACGATGAGAAAAGAGCACACAGCCAGCATACAGCCATAGCTGCTGCTGAAACCAGGAGAAGGTAGGAAAAGCCCCAGCAAACAGATGGATCAACTCAGCAGAAGTACTCAGAGAAGAGGACTAGGAAACCTAAGACAGCCAAGTGGAGCAGGGCAGAAGCCACATGCCCAAGAGGGCTGCGTCCGAGTCAAACACAGGAACGCTGGCTTTAACTTGTCTGTTACTAGTTGTGTGAGATCATGTTTCTAGTAGCTATTAAAAACAAGTCACAACAACTTAGAAGGAAATTGGAGAGAAAAGCACAAAATACAGGACCGAAGAAAGCACAGGATGTCCTCTGAAAGAGTTGCAGTGGCAACATTTTTGTAAATAACTCCCAGAAACCAACAGCTTTTTTCCAAGCCAGGCAGTACTACGAGCCAGCAAACAACCATGGTGCAAGCTGGACAACCTTGACTTCCTGGAGATCATACATGGCATGTCCAGCCTGCCCAGGACATTGGGAAGAGCAGTCAGCAGAAATCCAAGAAATGAGCAATAGCCTGCAATCTCATTTAGCCTCAATCTTATTCACACTGCTCTCATATTCTCTATACCCATGGACTGAAACTCAGACCCAAGAAAAGTCACCTGCACACAAGAGTCTCCAGTCTGGGCTCTGAGCACTCCGTTATACCCACCTAAGAGAAAATAAACCCCTGCACTGCTTACTCCCCGTGTGGACTCCACACTCCTTGTCCCTGCTGCACCCCAATCAGCATTCTGGAGACGCATCTGCATTTCAGAAAGCATCCTGGAGTTCAGGCTGCCTTGGCACAGTAAGCACTGTGCCCAGCCTCAGTCAGGAGAGCTGCTAGGTGTTCCACTTTGCAGCAGGCTGCCAGCATCAGCCCTGAAGGCTGCCATGGCTCAGACCCAGCGGGATTAGTGTTATCCATGTGCTAAGGTTCACTCCCAGCACAGAAACAGCTGGTGGCTGCATGGAAGGCCTCCTGGTGACCAACCCCTGCCATTAGCTCAGCCTTTTCTAGTCATGCACTTAATCCAGTGGGGTTTGCTCTGCTCCACCCCCTCCTCCCAGAGAGCAAGACTGAGCTCATTCCTCTGGCCGAGCGAGGAAGTGACCTCTTCCTTCTTTACCTTTTCCACAGCCATTCACTGCTGAAGTCCTCTTGCAGCCCGCCCAGGGACTGAGACACAATGACCTCCAGTGGCAGATTCCTGCATGGATTTCTCCCCTTTATCGCTAGGCTACAGGGACTGCAGCACACTTTTGCCATCAGTTTGTATTTCAAGACCCAACTTCTTCTAAGTTTCCTCTCCTCACAAATGGTTACAGCTTTCATTTTTCTAGGTGAACTAACACAGCTAACATTGCACCGATGGCTTTTAATATATTTTAAAGCAAATAAATAACTTCCATTGGCAATGAATCTGGGCCAATGGCATCAGAACACCGCAGAGCAAAACCTAAAACCAGGGCTGCCTTCCTTCTCCATTATTTAACAGCACACTTCAGACCTACAAAACAGCACATCCATTTTAACAAATGCCTCCTCCCAGGCTCCTGAAGGCATGGGGAGAAATCAGTATTTTAAAGACAAAAAGAGTGGAGGTAAGAGTGATTTATTTACTCACAGTCACGCAGAGAGTCTAAACGGGAGCTGGAAAAAACCACTGGTGTCCTGTACACTCGGGTATGCTGAAACCTCTTGGCAAGAGCACTTGCACACTGTGTTTTCCTAAGATACACCTCAGTACTGCTGCATACATGCAGACTTCTCTGGTCTGTGCATAACAGTTCGCAGTGAGTTTCTCTTGGGTCATTTTTATTTCACAAAGAGATTCCCGAGTATCTAATTACTAGAAAAAGAACAGAATCAATGCAATACTTACCATACTCATATACAATTCCATTATTACAAAGTCTGCTTAAATAAACACAAAACAGTACTAGTAAGTAACTGGCACCAAATGATAGAAAATTAGGTTCCACCTACAAAACTGGTAGCTGTTTTAAGAAGCATCTAGAGATGAGAATATGAACTTCAGTAAGCTTAGGAGACAACTTAAAATCCACTACACAGAAAACAGCCACAAGGAGTGAGAATAAAATGAGGCAATATTAAGACCATTGCTCACACGGGTACTTGCATCACAATTAAAACCCTGCTAATCAGTACTTCAATCTGTTTTCTAACTGGAACAAAAAAAACAAAAACAAAACCAAAAAACCAGCATCCCAATTTTGTTTCCTGATCTTGTTTAAAACAAGCAAGCATTCCTAGGCCATTCCATCAGAGCATCTCTTACCCATGGGACGAGAAAGGGACACAACATCCCAAAGGCTGAAAAACAATCCTCACCAAACAGCAGACACCAGTTCAGAAACTTTTCACATCTCTAAAAGGCAAAAGCCACCACAACAACCCTGGTTTGTGGCAGCCTGGGAATAGATTAAGCAAAGGAAATACTGACAGGTTCAGAAGGCTGAGGTGCTGCTGGAGCTGAGGGCTAAGCTGAGGCACGGGCAGACCAGTCTCAGGCCATCTCTGCTGCTGTCCGTGCTGTGTTTGCCCTACATACAAATAACTGCAGCTTCGTGTGCTCCAGGCCAGCCACTCGCAGCTCCCCCAGGAGCTTGGGGGCCAGTGGGCTGTGTGTTTGGGGTTTGGTATTGTTTTTTTTTCTCTGCAGCAATTAAAAACATTCTTATAATTGGTCATGACTTCGCTCCTTCCAACCCAAACTTGGCAGGCAGAGATTTTGTAAAGCTTTCTGGAACGGGCTGCAGATAACCTGCCACAGAATTTCTGTGTGCTCTCTGTGATGGGTTTCAAAAGAAGTCTTTATTAGAACTCAGACATGTTTACTTCCTTGCAACGAGCACTGTCATTGCAATTCCTGTAATTAAATCCACAATTTTGACAGCTGAAACTGTAGAAATAATTGCACTGTTAGTCAAAATAAGTTGTTACTGCTCAGACTCTTGCCAAGAATGCTTTAAAAGCTTGTACTATGTGTTTCAAGTAAATCTGAACTGAATCTTCATCCATTCCACCTCACTTCCTTTCTGGAGCAAAGATCTCAAAATCTTTCCTTTTACTGTGCAACCTCCAAGTCCTGCACAAGAATTTCTGCCAGACTGCTGCTACTTTCCATACAACATCAATATTATACAACGCTCTTGTGCTGAGCACTGTCACACACACGATGCTCTTTATGTAATCCTGTGTCTCTCTCCCATGAGTTCATTTCCCACACACAAAAAACAACATGAAGTCAGTTTCTCAGAAATCTCAGAGAAATCTTTTACACCAAATACACCTATTGCACCAGTATTACAAATGAGCAATCCACAGTATTACTTCTTGTATGAGACAAGGAGCCAACACTATTAAGCACTAAAAAGTCTTTCCAACCACTTTTATTTTTCAGCCAATGGTTAGGGAACACCAGCACAACTCCAGCCATAAAGGAAGAAATCTCATCTCCAACAATCAAGTAGCAGAAGCACCAAGGCAGACAATAAAAAGATTCACAGTAACATTTTGCCTTCAAAAGCCAACTGTGCACTCAGAACAAGGCAGCTCATAAAACCCAGCACTTGAGATGGGCAACCTGAAGTTTGTTTTCTGCACCTGGAACAAGAGGCTCAGGCAGCAGCTACTCCACACAGCTCTCCACTTATTACTCCAAGCAGGTGAGACTGAAAAACCTACTTCCAACAGCGCAGGATCTGGGATAAGCACCCACAAGGCTCAGTGAACACATGGAGCAGCTGGAACAAAGGCAGGAAGCCACCTCTCACATCCCCAATGCGATTATGGGATGGTTTAGCAACACGTCATTCACAGATGGAGGCCATTTGCAAAATGCCCTTCTGCCCAGGGCAGTGCCTAGCAAGCAAACATATTCCTCTCTCCAGGAGAAGAGGACTGACCAGCAACAAACACAGCACTGTTTTTGTAAAAGCTAAAAAAAATGGGTAAAAACACCCCAAACTTGCTAGGTAACAAAAAGCCTCGAATATCCTGGTTTGCAGTGCATAACAGAAGCAGATATAAAAATTCACTTGCTATATACGGAATTTCAGTCACATTTGGATTTAATTCAGTGTATTCTACAAAGAACTTCTCCTATGAAAAGCATCAGAAAACATTTTTGCGTACCTTAAACCATAAAATTCCAGGTTATAATAAAATGCCCTCAGCAGCAAAAATGGGTTTTACCTTTTACTTCCTGGGAACAACAAAACATCCATTACAAATTCATGAGGCTAAAAAAACAATGAAGAGATCTAAAAACCAGCTACCTCCTTCAAAATCAAATAGCAGTTGGGCACAAAATAAATTAAAAACACCTACAAAATACTCTAGAACTCATTGGTCTGATCAAAATCTGGCAAAGCATTTGGCAAAGCTCAGAATCCTTGTCTCTTCAGAATCTGTGCATGTCACTTCACATAATACCAAACAGATGTACCGATTTATTTAATAATTCCCCTATTCCCAAAGTTTATTTGTTCCTCACAACCAAACCACCAGGACAGAGTCGTGCCTCTCCAGAGGCCTCCTATAAAAGAAGGAAGAAGCTGCACTTGGATGGCAGAGAAGTTTGGAATGGTTTGACTCTGTCTGCACTTCAAAGAGGATTACAACGTGCTCAAAAATTCCTTGACCTGCAAAGAGAAACAAATATTGTCAATCACACTAAGTGTTTACCAGCAGAAATAGGCAGCAAGTATATTTACCTCTCCTCTGCTTTATGCTTTGCTACAACCTAAAGAAACAGGGAAAAAGCAGCTCTGGCTCAGCCGTGCCATTACCTGTCCATCAAGAACATCTCCAGACATGGTACCTGTAATTCAGCAGATGCAGGGAGAGACAGGATGGAATGATGCTCACCCCTCCTGCGGCCCTGAACTAGAGCCCTCTGTCACCAAGGACTGCACTGCAAGCAGCTGTCACCCAGACAGGAGGAGGATAATGGCCACCTGGAAAGAGCTGTCATTTGGAATCCAGGGAGTCACGCCCACTGCCTGCACACCAGCCGGATTTAACGCTGGGAACAACCCAGGGCACCTAACCAGGCTGTCCCTTGGAACCTGAGGCTGGCCAAGAAATAACCAAGCAATACCTACCAAAACCACACTGCTCGGAGAAAATCAGTGCCAAGCTCACAACTCCTGCCTTCAAGTTTCAGGAACATCCTAGGAACTAGGATACAGCCTGAACTGGGAGCATTTTCCTCTGTCCACTCAAGCCAGGCTACTCCACAAAAGGAACCATTTTCTAGAGGACATGAAGCTATTCTTTTGGCAAAGGCTCTCCTACACAGAGCCCATCTGTAAACGTTTTGTCCGGTCTCTTGATGTGAAATGGAAACAGATCTTGGATCACACTCTCCAACTGTGACCTTCCCTTCCCAGGTCAGGGCTCAAAGAGGTGGGGAAAAAAGGAAGAGGTCAAATCCCTTCCTCTAGAGAGGGGAACACGTAACTGTGCCAAGACTAACTTGAAAGGCATCACGAGAAAGCCAAGCTCTGCTTCAGAGAGCAGCACCAGTAATCCTGCATGGAAAACCCTGTCAGGATTTACACACCAGGCACAGTTTCAGGATGAGCATCACAGCAGAGGGAAGAAGCAGGGACACAGCATCTGGGTCCCCACTCAGCACACACCAAAGCCCAATGTACCCAGCCTCATCAAGTGTATCTCTTCCCTGGCTCCGTTTAGGAAATGCCAAAAAATTAGGGCCAGCACAGGGCATAGGCAGCTGCCAGATAACCTGATGGCTACCCCAGAGAAAACTCCTGCAAAATCCATACTAAGTTGCCCGAGCTTGGCCTTATCTCATCTTTTGCAGATGGGAAGCAGGCTCCCTCCACAGCTGCCATCTCCGGTCATTCCATCGATTCACAAGCTCAACCAGGAAGCCTGGTTTTAATCAGGAGAACATTTCCACTCCTAGGTGGATCAATGGAAATCAAAGGACAAAGCTGCTTTTCTTGTGAAGGAACACGTTATTTCTGAAGAATGGAAAAACGTGTGCAAACCACTGCTGAGGTCTCCAAGTCATTGCAGCTACTCAGATCAAAGTCAAGTTGTCCTCGCTTGACTCCCACTGGGATTCAAGGACCGAACACCTGAGCAGTTAAATGACAAAGGCTTGGCCTAGCTTTAAAATATGCATTGCCATAGGCTGTAAAGCTGTTCCTTACCCGAATGCAACTCTGTGACTTAGATATTTGAGAAGGATGATTAGAGTGTAATGTGTATTTCTAGAGCAACGTGACTCATCAGTTTGTGCTGCTTGTGAAATTTTACCTTTTCGATCATGTGATCATATTTGTCCTTTTTGCCCTTGAAGTCTTCGTTAACATCGAGCGTTAAAATCGGAATTTCCTGCAGATAGTCAAAATCTGTTCTGTATTGGGAGAGGAACAAAGCAAATATTAGTAGCTGGAAATAAAGCAGAGAGCATTCAAATCCCTGCATTTTCATTGCTAAGAATCCCCCAAGAAGAACTGCATCTATAAATTACAGCCAGGAATTCCGAATTTACAGCGTGGCTCCTGGGATACACCAGAGATTCCCAGACATCCTGCTCCCCCAGCACCTAATGGAATAACAGCACTCTGTGTGTTAAAGCCACTTCAGCTGAAGCCTCTGCTGCTCAGAGCTCTGCGTGAAGAGAACTTGGAGCACGCTGCAATAATGAACATGCTGGAAAACCACTACTGCCAAGGGAACACCCACAGAAACCTGCAGTTCAGATTTACACATCATAAAAAAAGCTGAAGTTTCCGTGCCCCACGGAACATCCTTACAAAGATCAGTCCATCCTCAACAAACCCTACCGCAGTGCCCTGTGCTGGAGCCAGCTCTCATGCTTGTAGTGAAGCTTCTCCAGATATTCGATGGGGATTTCTTGTTCCTCATCTCTTCCACGCAAGTAAATCCTATTCAAGCATTTCTAAAGGCAAAAGATAGTGAATAAAAATAAGTAAATTGGTGTATTGCATGCCAAGAGCACAGAAATATCCAAATTTAAAACAAGCAAATGTTTAAAATAATTTGTTCCCACTCTGAGCGCACCTAAAGCCTCAACAACAAGCCAAAACTGATTAAGTATTGTACTTTATAATTTAAATATACCTTCTTTTCTTAAACACAAAAACAAAAAGCCCCAAGAGTTACTCCAGTGTGTTACATTCCACTGTTTTTTACAACCATAACAAAACTGAAGGCATGGAAGCAAGGAAATATCAAAGTGATCCCTAAGTTCATTACAGCTCTTTTAACCTCATGTTTTTCTGTGGTTCAAGCAAATTTCATACTCAAAGGAGGTATTATTCTGTTCTTTCCTTTTAAACAAATATTAGATGGCCCAGGATCAAAGCACAGCCACAAGGCCTCGCATACAGTGCGTGCTTTCACCTGGCCTAGCTCCAGCACCCCGGGTGTAGGGGCTTCACAGACCACCCCTGCATCAGCTCCACCACCACTGCAAACTGTTGTATCCATTCCCTGTACAGCTACAATCCCGATGTAACAGCTGTTCCTAGAGGGATTTCGTACTTTCCTGCAGTCGCTCCCTTTATTCCAGCAGTATTTTCTGGTTTACTGTTCTCATGCATTCTGTTTTTAAAATGAGAAAATCATTACCATCACAGCTGACTTTAGCACACACAGTCAACATTTGAAAGAGATTTTTTTGTTTAAGTACTTCCAGACCTAGTCACACTCAGGTACTGCAGCCTCCAGGGGAGCAGCCCAGCCCGAGCTGAGCTCTAACCACGAGGGGCAAGGCCCAGAACACAAACTTGTTTTTGGTGCCGTCACATTCGTGCCCCTCACCTCAGGAGTGGCTCGGAGATAAATGATCCCATCCAGCGCCAGCCTCGAGCCAAACTGTTTATTCATCCAGCCGTGCCAGTCCTGGTAAATCGTCCACTCGGTCTCGTTCATGCAGTCAGACTCGTATAAATTAGCAGCAAAGATGTACCTGTGGACATGGAAGCGATGGAAACAAAACTTGTCTCAGGAACTGGTCTGCCTCAAGCACAGTAACTGGAGAAGAAGCTGAGTGGTGACACTGCAGCATCCCTGAGGATCTCCTGGAGTGGAATAAACAGCTGCTATTCTCCTCCTGGAGCTGCGTGCATGAAGCCCACCAACATTTGCAGCAATAACCCTGAGAACACAGCTGGCTTGTACACCAGGTCATTTATTTACAATAAATTAAAACACATTAACTTTTGCAACATACTACAACAGGGGGAACACCTAAGGATTATGGGCTGGGATTCGGTTATCAGGTCTCACTTTCTGAATCCACAAACACAGGATGGGGCATTTTTCTGTTGGCCATAAACTAAAACACGAGAAGCTCCACCTCAACATGAGCAAGAACTTCTTTCCACGAGGGTGAAAAGAAGTTCTTCCAAGCAGCAGCACAGCCGCTTTGGGAAGTCACGGAGTCTCCCTCTGGAAGCATTTCAACCACCCGGACGCGCTCCTCAGGGGTGACCCTGCCTGGGCTGGGGGCTCGGACTGCAGGGCTCCCTTCCAACGCCACACACATCCCGTGCTTTGAGCGGGGAGGTTTTTCCCCTGGAGGGTACCTGTCGCTGTAGACGGAGCGCTCGAAGAACACGACGGGCTCCTGCGCCTCACGGAGCTTGTCCAGGGCTGCGAGCTGGGCGCGGATGCGGCTGAGGCACGCGTACGTCTGGAAGGTGAAGGCCCAGCGCTCCGGCTTCTCGTACATCATGCGCAGCACGTTCCCGCCGCTCCGCTGCGACGTGCTCAGCTCCTGCGGGAAAAGAGCGCCGTGCTGCCCGATCCTGGAAAACGCAGCCCGGAGCGACGTGCGCCCGGTGAGGTTTACGCCGAGTCCACCAAAACGCACTTGGCCAGGCCTAACAAAAGATCCCCAGCCCCTCAAAAGCCACCTGCGTGGGAAGCAGCGGCTGGATTGCCAATGGAATCACAGTAAAAAAAAAAATCCCACTGCTAACACCAAGCGAGCAGCAGCTCTCGACTTCCTAAGACTTTTCACGGCACAGGAAGAAGCCTCTGCACTCACCTGGTCGGTTCACAGTGGCTACAAGTAACCCTTTACCACTTTCAGAAAGGGCATCCTAGAGGAGCTCAGACCTTGTGAAAGCAATCAGCGAAATCGCTGCTATCACACAGAGTCTGAGAAACTGTGTTGGACGCACTGCTGTGCTAAAATCAGAGGTGCGTTTGACTTTTTCCCCCCTCTTTTACCTCAGAGTCGTCTCCGGAGCTTTGCTGGACATTGCACCATCTAGCTACGGGCTCGGGAACCACTTCCCACTCCTCACTGGCTTGTTTCAGGACGTTCACAAAGGTGGATTTCCCTGCAGCTGCGGGAAAAGCATCCAGGAACAACGTCAGTGTGAGAAACCACCCGCGGCAGTGTTGTTTAACCAGTGTTGAACTCTGCCTTGCAGCCCCACAAAGCACTCTCCCACACCCACCACGAGCCGCATCAATTCATGGAGCAACAGGGTTTCTCTTCATCTGAGTTTAAGCAGGTTGGACAACAGGCACCTGGTCATATTTTGAGGGCCAGGAGTGCGACTCAGCGATCCTTATGGAGCCCTCCCAACTCGGGAAATGCTGTCATTCTGGGTGTTTTACGCCACAAACGGGAAAGACGTGGGGGAAAGCTCATCCCACACCAAACAGGTGAAATCTTGTGGAAGCACGCATCCCTGTTGTCCCGCTCTGCCGTAGTGGGAGGAGCCCTCACGCAAGGGAAAGGGGGAAAAGTGAGAAAAGGGCAAAGAGGTAAGGAACAAGCGGAAGGGAAGAAAGAAAAGAAAAAAAGACATGAAGCAGGCAGTGAAGAGCCCACAGAGCTGTGCCTCCCCCAGACACGGCCGAAAGCACCGAGGCCGCCTCTCCCTCCTGCCCCAGCCAACTCCCCCCTTCCCCATCCCGCATCCCCGCGTAGGCGGGAGGCGCCGACTCACCGATGTTGCCCTCCACGGCGATCTTCTTGATGCGGCCGCCGGGCCTGGGGCGCTTGGGCGGGGTGGCCATGGCGGCCTGAGGGGGCGGCCTGAGGGGGCGCGAGCCCGGCCCGGCCCCGCGCGCCGCCTTCAAATTTGGTGGGGGGGGGGGAGCCGCTGCTCCCGCCGGACAAAAAGGGAACGGGAAAAGGGGACAAAGCCAACCCCCTCCCCCGGGCACAGATCGCCTTCCAAACTCCTGCTGGAAATGCCAAGGAACGGCCCGGCACCGGCACGAGAGCTGGCCGTAAAGGGGACAGGCAGCACTTGGATTCAGAGGGCTGTTAGTGATAATCATTGGGAAGGCATAGCCAACTTTGGGAGGGAGCTGTGGAATTCCTGACTTCGGGAAGGAGCTGTTCCCTGGCAGGGTGGGCAGGCCCTGGCACAGGGTGCCCACCGAAGCTGTGCCTGTCCCTGGCAGTGCCCAAGGCCAGGCTGGACAGGGCCTGGAGCAGCCTGGGATAGTGGGAGGTGTCCCTGCCATGGGATGGGCTCTAAGGCTCCTTCCAAACCAAACCATTTTGGGATTCTGTGAAAGCCTGTAACCTCCCCAACAGACAGCAAACCCAAGGAGAACCAAGCTAAGCAGGGAAAAATCCTGAGCCCAGGAGGATGGGCACCAGCAGGAGGGCACTTACGGCCCCGGATTGGTGTAAAAAATCCAAGTAAAAGCCACATTTCAACCACCTTGTTCCAAACTGCCCTCCAGCCACGTGTGAGAGCAACTTCCCACGGGGCAGGGCACCTGAGAACCCCAGGTGGGTGGGAGGGCAGGAAATGTGGAGCGCTCCGGCTGCTGGGGTCATCGGAGGCTCTCTCAGGAGAAGGAAAAAGCCAAAAAAAATTCACCTGTGTGCTGCCGGGCAGGGCCAAAAGTGGAGCCTGCTGCACCTCCAGCCAACATCCTTGGGTGTGTCCTGGTCACTCGCTTCCAACACAGAGGGGAGGGGAAAAAAAAAAATCTATGTACAAGTAGGAGACCACTGAGGAGCACGTCCAAGAAGGAAATAAAGACAGTCATGGTCAAACATAGCTATTTATTTTCTCTTATAAACAGCCTTCAGTTTCTTATTGAAAAAAAAAAAAAAACCAAAAAAAAAAAACCCCTAGGATTTAAATATTTTGCCCCATCACATACAACCATCTGTATACATTATTTACAACTCTCAAATAAACACGGTGCGGGTTTTCGGACATTCAACTTATTCTTTTTTTTTTTTAATCAAAAGCTGTTTGCATTTAGAACTGGAATCTCCATCAGTGACTACGAACCGAAGCGGTATTGGCACAGTTAGCTCACAGTAAGGGTTCTCTCCTTGCATTTTACACATCACACTGCCTTTTTTAGTCCCACAGATTTCAGGATTCTCAAGGAGGAGGAATGGTTAGTGTCGCTTTCGGAATTAATTTTTTTTCACCTTTTACTGAAGCCTCGTTCATTTTTACTCAAACCTCGTCGGTTTTTCATTTAAATCTTTTTATTGCATGCTCCTCTCTCTGTCCCAGTGCACGTGCCTCTGCACCACACAACCACAGCATTCCCAAGCAGTCCAACAGCCACGACAATCCACGCTCCCTCCCTCCGCCACGCGGCTCGGAAAAATTGTCCCCAAGTTGCAAACGTACAAAAATAATGAGTATAGTTCAGTGGCTATAAAAAATTAATCTCCCCTAAAAATACAATATTCTATGAACAATCTGGGGAATCGATTCTTCCAACAAAATAAGGTTAATTGGATATTTTCCTAGGCTGCAAACTGAACCTGGCAAGAGGAAACCAGAAGAAAAAGCGGGGGAAGAAGGAGGTTTAACACTGAAAATCACCAAAGTTAGTCTCGTGTTAAAAGAGAAGATACCCAGGGAAAAACGATGGGCATCCAGAAAACTGCCAGTGGTTTCAGGAGTGAGGGATTGGAAAAGAGACAACTGCTACCAGCAGTGAAGGAAACGAGATCTGGCTGGGGGGGGGGGGAAAAAAAAAAAGGAATTTCTGCTGGTGCTGCTCAGCTAATCCAACCAAAGGGGGGATGTACAGGAACAGCACGCTGGCAGGCAGGAGAGGGCAGCAAGGAAAAGCACAGCTGTCCCAAAGGATGTGTTTATAGCAACACTGTGTCTGGTGAGCCGGGAGAAAGGAAGGGGGGCGAGAAAAAGAAAGGAACAATCTGAAAGGTAAGTTGAGTCCATAGCAGCAAATAGGTGTCCTTACCTGGTAACTGAGGGTCAGGGACACTGGGAGAGGGCTCAGTTCCCAAGGACTGAGTTAAGGGCACTGCTCCTCTCCATCTCCACGGAAAAGCAGAAGTTCAAAGCTCTACATTGCATAGTAAGCAGGAAAAGAAACTGGATACTTGCAGATGGGCTGCCTGCCCCTCAGAACCTGTTCTGTCCCCTCAGCCACCTGCAGCAGCACAAGGCAAGTGGTTTGGTTCCTCTTTGCTGGAGTGACTTGTACCCCTGCCTGGGACTGGAAAGACTTGGAAACACATCCCACATCCATCCACCCCTGGCTGAGCTCCGTGGGCTCGGCCCTTGGCCCCTTCCCGGCTCCAGGGAGGAGTCACCACCCGAAGCCCTGACAAGATCCGAGGTGCTGGGATTCCACAAACCACAGGAATTCGGGACCCCACCGGGCTGGAGGGCCTGGGGCAGCACTGGAAGCACAGCCTGGTTCAACCCCACGGGCACCTTCCGAGGTTTTGTCATCCCTCCAAGTCCAAAGTGGGGCCTGGAGCAGAGCAGGGATTGCTTCTCTGGGGTTTATCTGGAGGGGCAGGGGGTGTCCCCCCCTTTTCCTCCCATAAATGCACTATTTTATAAACACATTCACTCGATCCAGGTTCCTTTGAGTGGCATTTCCATGTGCCCTTACTCCGAGAGTGTAAACACACGTCAACTTCTGGTCCCACAGCTTTCAGAAGCAAAACAACAACGAAAAGCTGCAAAAAGAAACAGCACGGGGATGCTGAGTCCCCACCACTGCAAACACGTCCTCAATGATGTTCTTTTCAAGTGTTGTGTAATTAAACAATGTGTTCATACAGCTGTCAGGCAAATCATGATCTCCAAGCTTTTATTACGTGCCTAGAAACTATTTGGTCTAAGACTTTCGACTGGCAGATACTGAATAAAAAAATAAAAAAAAAACACACTATTCACCTAGGACTCATTTTTACACATCCCAATTCTGACGGGCTGAACAGCAGCAGATGCCTCTGGAGCTCTAGAACTGGCTGCTCAAAAGAAAAAAACTGCAAGAACAACAACAGGAACCAAGCCCTCCCTAGGGCACAAGCGTGCCAGGAAGGTGAGCCCCAAGCAAATCCTCATTTCTACACCTCTGTCCTTCCTGCTGCTTGCTGGCACGTGACACCAAGCCAAGGAGTCACCCTGAAATGGGAGGCACCCCCTGTCCAGCACACCTGGGAGCTCCTGCCTTGCTCCCTCTGTGTCCAACAGCTGGGATGTGGGAGACGGGTGGCTTTGGCGCTGTCGTGCGGACGGTGGCACAGGAAAAGCCAGAAGATCAGGATCCCTCACTGGAGCCCAGGAGCTGCCAGGTGAGTCACTGCTGTGCTCAGCTGTTCCCTGCTGCCCGTGCCCATGGCCACTCACCCCTCCTGCAGGCTCCTGCACGCCAGCTCCGGCTTCACTCGAGCCGAGGCACACAAAACAGAAGCTCAGCTTCTCCGCCACGTGCCCACCTCGGCCTCCCCTGCTCCTGCTGCTTTTCCCAGGAGCTGGAGCTCCCTGAAGATGGGCAGTGCTTTTAAACAGGGGGGAACACCAAACACCATCACAGCAACGTGAGCCCAAAGCAGCCCCAGAAATTATCTCCCCTCCAAGACACATTTCCTCCCACAGCAAACGCCGGCGGCCAGAGCCCCTCCTCAGAGCCAGGCTTTGCATTCCTAACTTAAAAACACCTTTCCAACAGTTAATTTTCAAGGCAGGTTTTCCTTACTATTATTACTACTACCCCAGTGCAATCTTTTCTTAGGGAATATTTTCCCCAATTGTGTTTGTGCAAACTACCTGTTCATTTGGCAACTGCTAGGGGAACTTCACAAGCTGGCTGGCCCAACTGATGCTCTCCTGCTAAGAAAATAAAAGCAACTATGCCAAGCCTGGAGCTGCTTGCTGAGCACAAGGCCTGTGTAATTTTGACACCACCTTGGCTGTTTCGCTTTTCTTCGTAAGAAGTCACCTAGTTTTGAAAAACTCTATAGTCATCTCTAAAAAAATAAGACAAGTATTTGTATTAAAAGCTGGAGATCATTGATTTCAGCAAGTTATGGCTTTTTTTTTTTTTTTTTTCTCCCTAGTGTAAGCATAGATACATATTTTTAAAAGAAGTTTCAGTAAGTGTCTGGGTGTTAGTACATATTTTCTGTTTCCAGCAATGTTCAGTATTGTATGTGCTTTGCACCTCAGAAGTTGAGTCTGCCAAGGCACTTAGAGAATGTAAGCAAGTCTTCCAGGGACTTCATGAGAATGGGCTACCACTGACACAACACAAGAACCCATCCACCAGCAGAGTCAATCCCCCAACCAAGCACGTTTCCTTGATAAACACTCAGCACCTGCTAGAAATTCCACAATGAATAACAACAGTAAAATAATATTAATAAAAAAAAAAGCTATTTACCACATGTCACTAACAGAGAAAAGGTTTCCCCTAATAAAAGCACAGAAAGTAGATCTCAGCTGTCACTGGTAACAGCACAGGGGGGTTGTTTTGTTGTTTTTTTTTTAAAAAAAAAAACAAATTAACAAAAAACAAATACCACACGCTCGCTTAAAGAAACAAGTGACTCCAAGAAGTCCTCTTCCTTTTATCTGTCCTTGGAGGTGAGTTTTTCAATCAGTTCTTGAAGTGGTGCAAGTTCTCTTCTATCAATAAGGTTGAATTCCTGCAACAGGGATGAGGAGAGAGACACACAGAGAGAGTTTAGTGGGTACAGCTCAGGTGAGAAGCCTCATTTAACCAGAACTCATCTGGCAGTCAGCTCTCCAAGCCCAGGCTCA